GAATACACAGAATGTGATTACTGAGATCAGGTCTCACCCGACCGCTCAATTTACTGTAAAAACACACACACTGAGGGAAAAAAAAAAGACAGGAAAGAACATCCTACTTATTACAGACCTTAAAGTGGTCGATGGTGACAAAGTCTGGAAAGAAAGGAAGGATGTCTTCAATTTTGAGCAGGTTGCAGCTGGACAGACAGTTCATGGCTTTCTTAACATCTTCTTCCTTCTGCACCACATGCTTGGCGATTTTCAGCCAAAGCTTTTTCCTCAACTCCTCATCATCCTCTGGGAGGTCAGCGCAGGACTTGGCCAAGTCCACGTCTACCTGCGGACAATTAAAAAAACGACAAAAAACAGTGCAACAATTGAAATCGCCAACTGCTGTCTATAATTTTGATAATCTGGAAAAAAGAAAAAAAGTGACACAACATTTCAAGGATTTACATATGTTCACCACTTCTTTACAAGCACTGCTGATCCATTAATATACATTACTTACTTCTAAAGCAAGATCCACTGCCTCCTCATACAGTTCCATAATCCTATAAACCAGCACACAGGCCTGCCTGTAGCCATGCTCCGCACACAGCCTGAGAGCATACTTGAGGTCGTAGTGGATCTCTGAGGCGTGTGTGCCTGCCTGCTCTAGATACCACAGCAGAGAGTCTGGTTTGTACTTTGCATAAAGCGACAGCAAGTAGTTATGGATGGCCTCCTCTGTTACCATCAGCTCATAAACGCAGAACTCCATGTAGCGGATGGTCTCATTGATCTGCTGCGTGCTGCCCATCTGGCTGTAGTTCATCAGAGCTGGGATGAGCTTCTTTGGGTCCAGCCTCTTGCCCATCTGAATCCACGCGTCCACCACGTTTTTGGGAATGTGCTGCATGAGCACCGGGGAGAACTTGTAAAAAAGCTTTTCGTCACAGTGCTTGGAGAGCACATCCAGAGCAGCACTGTACTCGTCGTGCTGGCAGTAGTGGGATATCACTCTCTCGTAGTCCTGCATGACGACTGAGAAGTAAACCATGTCGTCCACGTTGCCGTGGCTGGCCAGCAGGTCGTAGATGGTGGAGCGGTTGTTGTACAGGCAGTCTCTGTGCTTGGAGCTGCCAAGGAACTTACGAAACTCGTCACGGGTTTCTTTGAAAATGACGCTGTTGCCGTCACTCTCCAGCTGGCCGAGGCGATTCAAGTAGAGCTCAGCTAACCAGGTGACCAACAAGGTGATCTGAGTTCTCTCACTGGGTTTGAGATTGTTTAGTTTCTTCAGTAAGAACTCCTTTAAGGCCTCCTCTTGTTTGGCTTCTATGAACTTGAGAGCAATCTCTTCAAAATAGTTCTGTGTTTGTGCATAGCACATGGCGCTCTCCAGATAGCGTTTATTCTGGAAACAGTGCTCAGCTTCCTTTGCCAGCACCATGTCCATACACTCAGGCCGATCGCGACAGTACTCCTTGGCCAGATCAAATTTATTCATGCTCATGTACATCTGCCAGACATCCCTGGACTCCCGCTGGATGTGATATCGAAAAACTGCCCGCTCAGTGTAGATCCACACCAACCCGCCAACTGGGTCTTTGATCATTTTCTTGAGGCTGCCAAATTTATCTGGGAACAAGTCCTCGTAAACCACTTGCCCGTTCAGAGTGCAGATGGCCTTAACTCGGTCATGAAGCAAGAGCAGGAAGTGGAACTGTGTCAGCACAATGGAGATAGGCTTGTTTTGATTAAGGTCAATGTCTGGAGTGTATTCCCACACCTGTTTGTGAAAGAGGAGATGTGGAGATAGTATATGACACATAAAGACAGCAAGGATGAGATATTACTAAGAAAAATGTTAAAAAGTTTTCACACACGCTGACTGACATTTACCTGCACATCACTCAGCAGGGAATCAGGCCTGACGTAGTCAAGCTGACCATAAAGAACTCCATTACCCATCATCCAGGCGAACGCCTTGGGGGACGTTCGCAGCTTAGGGGTGTAGAAGGTGATCTCGCTGTGTCCCATATTGACTGGGAACTCCTGGAAACTGGGCAGCAAGTCCTGATTTTGATTGAAGATGGAACTGAAGCCTTGCTGCTCCGACCCCTCGGCTACCTTACCCACAAACTGGAACAGGCGTTTGCGTGTGGTAGCTATGATAAAGTACTTGTTCTCCAGGCCCCGCTCGACCTCCAAACAGCAGACTGGAGCAGGTTTGCCATCCTCCTCCACAGAGTGGACCTACATCAGGATGTTATCAATTATATCAAGAGGAAGAAATGAACTACATCAGGATTTTCTTCTGTTTCCACAAGTGCATTAAATGTATATGCTTATAATACAGTTTGAACAGTTAAAACTTACAAAGCAGATGTGGCTATCATGTGCTAAATAGCAGACGTAATCACTTTCTCACCTGTCTAAAGTATTGATCTGGATTGGTGTTAAACAAGCTGCCCTCATTCGCAGAGATCTCTGCCTCAAAAATGATGCCTTGACTCGTGCCAACCAGGATAGGTCCTGTGCTGGTCTCGTTGCCCAGCAGCTTGTTCCAGCCCACACTCTCGATGAGGTGGCCTCTCCAGCGGGACAAACTGCGCACCTTCTGGGTGTTCCTGTTGAGGTACAGACACTCACTGGTGTTCAAGCTGATCAGCAGATGGGAGCCTGTAACGGAAAATATGGAGGAGGTTATAGCTGTTGTTAAGCAGTCATAACTGTGACATAGCATTTATATATGATGATGATTTATAGATTGATGCACTGCCAGACATTTTTGTCTAATTGTTTTATCATATGAAACTGTTGTCTTTATTCAAGTTCAGACTTGCTGTGCATGGAGGTTTGTGGCTGCTAATATTACAGCACTTATGTATGAATGCTGAATCACCTCAAAATACACAATGACAAATCAAAATCAATTATTTCTCCAATTATACAACAATATATAATATCTGCATAATCTATAACAACATAACATAGCACTGTCTTGCAGAATGTTCGATAGTAATTAGCAGTCCATTTATAATGTATAAACAATATTTTGAAAACTATTATGGTTTATCTCACCTGTTGGGTCCAAGAACAGTCTGTGCACTTTACTGTCATCTTTCCTTCCTAATTCAGTCTGGTTTGGTTGATCTGGTTTTGCTAAGTCAATCCTACACAAAAGAACAAAATATCTTGAAACAGATGTGCTGAATAATACAACTGTCTTAACAACAAAGTTAGAACGCTGTGTAAAAATGTGAATAAAAACAGAATACAGCTAAACTAAAGCAAGCGTAAACACAACCTGACAAACGTTTAAAACTAGGAAGATTGTGCCCATTGTGAATTTGAGGTCTGAAAAAAACAGAAATGCTCTATCCATCTATTTTCTTCTGCATATCCAATTCACAGTTGTGATCGGACTGGGGCCTATTCTGGCTGTCACAGGGCAAATGATGGAGCACACTTTGGACAGGTGACCAGTCTATCTCTGGGCTGTTGCAGAGAGACATTCAGTTTAGGGTCCAACATATTAACCATACAGTATCTTCTAAACTTAGGCCTTACTTCTTTCAGGAAGACAATGCTAAGCATGCCAAACGTCATTGTTCACATATTCCACGGGCATAGCTGTGTAGTGACAGTGTGTGGGAGATTAAAAACACTTTTCAAACGAGAAGTCCATGAGCTGCTGTAAGCAGATGAAATTCAATGCCGAGCACAGATGGGAAAACGTTTTTGATTTCCCAACAGCATCAGCTCCTCTCCCACACTGGCAGACCGTTGTTTAAATGAAAGATAATACAGCAGTGTGGTAAACACGTCCCTGATCCAAAACATTTTTGATTTACATTTTAAACTGCACCTCCATGTTTTTACAAAATGGGTTAATGACGGTAAATTACAAAACAAAATAACAAAACCTAATGAAACTAATCAAAGCCATACAAACAGCAGTGAGCGTTTGAACTGCATGTCATTGTGCTATTTGCCTTAGCAGGGTGTCCTTTCCCAGACTCATGCACAGCTGATTGTTGCAGACAGCCAGATGATTTATCTTCTCAGGTGGGGTGAAATCAATCCTCTGCTTGTTGAATATCGGCTTCTCTTCTTCAAGCCTCGCGTTGACAAAGCCTAACGTTGAGAATATAAATGTCTGTATCAGCCAAATATTCCCCACTGCATCTTAGCAAGGAGCTTTAAAAAAACGAAGAGGGCGACCTACCAGAATGGGTTATCCCGATGTTGGTGCTTGACAGGCGGCTGTGCTGCTGCGCACTTTGCCGGATGTTTTGAGAATCCTCGTACTCATCGAGAATTGAAGCCATGGTTAAAAGTGCCTCAGCTCACTTATTGAATGGATTAACAATACAGGACAGGAGCCAACCCTAAAGCAACATGGGGTGGGAAAGAAAACCTGCTAGCAGGTAGCTAGCCAGCTAGCACAAATTTACCCGTTAAAGCTGCAGTAACGTATTTCCTTTCTCCGCGTGTGTCTAAGTTAAGAAACAAAAAAGCACAACAGACGCGTTTATTCTGCAGCATTAACACACGAAGAGAGGAAATTTCAATCATTCGTTTTGTCACACCAGCTAACTTAGCTTCCGCGTACAGAACGCAGGGTAGACCGTGATAATCAGGTGACACATGGAATCATGTGACCACTTTGAATGCAATGCTATCTTGTAAACACCAGGGAGCGTAGTTCGTCCAAAAGTGATTGTATTTAGACGCTTAGAAAAAATATAAATAAATCCTGAGCGCTTTTGTCATTTACATGTTGTTCAAGTATCGGATACTTTTCATTTTTAAGTTACAGACGGCAAAGAATTTCTATATAATATTTTCTCCACAATGAATGTCTAATATATATGGGCTTTATTAAAACAAGCTAATCTATATATCTAGCTAATAGAGAGAAAAGCTGAGAGAAAGCTGTTGTTATTCTTCTGTCAGTGGGCGTGTCTATGCAAATCACAACCTGTCTGAGCACAGTAGTTGCCCTAAATACGTCCCACCCCGCACATGTTGCTCCTCAGTCTACAGTCAGTCTGGTGGTATGTGTCAGAGAGAGAGGCAACCTACGGTATCTAGTGTCGCTGCGACCGGGACGGAGAAGAGTTTGCATTCAGAGGTTTAATGTTCGGCTCGACATGCCACCTCACATGGATTACTTTTACCACGAGTCCCGAGTCCCATCTGCGTGCGGGCTGACCCGGGAGGATGAGCTCGATCCCGCTGTCATCAGCTGTATGCTGGTCGGAGACGGAGCCGTCGGGAAGACCAGCATGATCATCAGCTACACCTCCAACGGATATCCGACAGAGTACAAGCAGACGGGCTTTGATGTCTTCTCCGGTGAGTGATGATTTTTAGTTTTTAATGACAGCACAGATTTACATTGAGTGGCAAGTTATGTTGGAAGTGGAATGGCACCAGAGTGCACGAGCTGCATGTTCTGATGTTTGAATTGGTTACTGTGTTTACTGTAAATTGACTGACTGATGTGGTTTTTAACAGGTCAGGTCCAAATTGACGGATCTCCTGTCAAAGTTCAGCTTGTGGACACTGCTGGCCAGGTATGGATGCCTTTACACTTGAATCAAGAGTTTCATTTAAGGCTGACACAAAATACCAAATTATCCACTGATGAGACACCCTTTTGAATTTAATGATATGAGCTATGAAAGTACAGACCGTCACATCCTTGCTTAACCCACTGTGTGACTCACTGACAGGATTTCAAGCTGAATGTTAATGGCGTATCTTTATTTAGTGACTCAGACTTGGTGCTCACTGATCGGCATTAACCCTCGCTCTGTCTCCACACAGGAGGAGTTTGACGAATTCCGCGCTATGTCCTATGCCCACACGGATGTCTTCCTCCTGTGCTTCAGCATGGTCAACCCCACCTCGTTTCACAACATCACCAAGAAGTGGGTACCAGAGATCCGTTCTAACAACCCGACTGCTCCCATCATTCTCATAGGGACTCAGTCCGACCTGCTGCTGGACGTAAACGTCCTCATCAACCTGGACCGATCCAACGTCAAGCCGGTTCTGAGCTCCCGGGCCCGGAGCATGGCGGAGAAGATCAGAGCCACGGAGTACATAGAGTGCTCGTCGCTCACGCAGAAGAACTTAAAGGAGGCCTTTGACTCCGCCATCTTCGCTGCCATAAAGAACAAAACGCGTAAAACCAAGAAGAGGAGGTTTTCTGACAGGCGAACCAAAGCGTTCTCCAGGTGTAGCTGGAAGAAGTTCTTCTGCTTCATCTGAACTCCTTGTGATTGTCGACCCTGTGGGTTGTGGACAGAACCTTGTTATTTATTTGATTCTCCTACTTTCACTTCGATCACATATTCAGTATGTGGCCACATAGCACTGTTTCCTTTTTTTTAAATGATTTGGCTTATTTTCAGTGGGATGCCAAATGGGGAAACAAAAGACACGCTTGAGAGCACTGAGCTAACATCAGCAGTGACTACAGAGAGGATTCTGGGTCGTTCTCACATTGACCCGGGACAACAGTATTGTTTACATTACATTTACATGTTTGATTTGGTTCACATAGCCTGCGCCCCCTTGAGAGGATAGGACGGTGTGAGCTGACACTTCAGTGTGGGGAGATGAAGAGATCAAGCTCGGGCAGGCACAGGGAGAGAAAAGAGAAAAGACCAGGTCTTCATGTAAAGCTGTGAATTTGCATGGTGCTCTGCCTTTTAATGTAGGCTTGTGAGAGAGATAGAGAAACGGAAAGTGTCGGGTCTGTGTTTGAGCAGATGGGCGTTAGCCACTTAGCTGCTGTGTTCCCACTGCCTGACTGCACCAGCGATTTATATGAAGCAGCTGTGAGTTCACCTTGCTGTGTGAGCTGCCGCATTCTTACCTGCGTGCAAATCTCCCCAGGCTGGTTTTTCTGTTGCTATTTTCTGTCCTCCCCATTTAAGGTCAGCTGACACTTCTAATCAAGCCGGTGTTTATTTCCTGATTCACAATTGATAAAGAAAACACAGAGGGAGATTTTGTTTGTGAATCTCCTCGTCTTAAGGTAAAAGGTTGCAAGAGACCAGTGACCTTTGGCTTTTTATTCCCCTCTCCTCATCAATCTGCATCTGTGAAAGCTAGCACTGCAGGGATCCCGACTTCCTACCACCAACCATCTTCATCCCGGCTTTCTTATTTGCCTCTTCTTTGTTTTGTTGGCTCAATACGCTGCTTAAATCCTCCCGTGTGTACAGTTAGGGGTTGCTAAACAGCCTATGTGTGAATGCAAGTGTAAGGTAAATACACTTTAAAAAAACAAGCTTGTACCTGTGACAAATGTGTAAGAATGAAAACAACTTACATTTGCACTCCAGTGTTTTGTTATCTGGTGGGTGTAAACTTTTGTATATTTTGTTATGCTTCTCGTGGAAGTCAACTAAATGTTTAAACTGTTCTGTTTGTTAAAAACAGGTCTTATCATCGCGCGTATGTTTATGAAATATCACACGAGGCACAAGTTTTAACAGGATTAATGTACTCTACAGATTTGTTATATTTTGTATCATTACCAAATCACCATTAATCTTAACCACCTTCTGCTCTAAAGCTGTGTGTCCTTTACATGGAGTGATGTGATGCCAATAAATGAAGTGAAGCTCATCTATCTTCTGTGTTATGTATATATTTTTTTAAAAGTAGTCTGCATTTGCAATTCACAGTTGTTTATGTGGTGTGATGCGAAGGAAAACTTTGTAAAAAGCCGAAGCACTGCTCTCTGCAGGGTGCCCGAAAGGTCCCCAGGATCACACCGGGTAGTTTTCCTGAACCACCCTCAGCCCAAACATATGATAAACAACCTCTGGGCTCCAGCTGTGCATCGGCTCGATCAGTTCCAATGCAATCCACATGACTGTTAATGGGTACTGGCAGTGCCATGCTGTGACTGATTGCCACGTCTTGATTAGGCCTTTTTCCAAAATGACACAGGAGAGTGACATTCGGGGGAGAATGACTGAATCAAATGCACTGATTGAGAATAAACACTGGCGGTGGAGCACAGAACATTGATTACAGACTTTAAAGCATGCTTTTGTCTGAAAGGAATCTCTTGTACTCGTTTTTAAGCCCAAGCTGCAGAAAAATAAATGTGGACAGAGTGTCGCCGAGCAAACTGAGGGTGAACATGACAGAGGAAAGCATGAGAAGTGCCTTTGTTCAGAGCAGTGAGCGAGAGCATATGAAAACGCGTTCACCCCAATACTTCAGAAATCTGTTTGCCATTAGTCAGTGGGCAGTCCGTCATGTGGAAATCTGTCAGGGTTCTGTTTGAACGTCTGTTATTGATAGGGAAGCACGGGACATCTCACTCTTGGCCTACTGACCTCATGCAGTGGAGAGGTCACAGAAGGGAGCTGGTGTTTTGCAATCTGACAGCGTGACAGCGCTTTCACACATGAACTCTCAGTAACCAGCTGGTGTTAGCCATGACCACTGACAACAGTCACAGAGGTCCATAGAAAGATTAAAGCTGCTCTTACAAATAATTCCATATGAGCAATGGTTTAAATGATGATCTTGTACTGTGTGGGTGCTTTTCAGTGACAAACACAAAGCTTTATCATCCAAATCAGTGTTCACTATTTTCACCTCCCACAGTTTAATATTATGTATGGCGCTAAAGACTCTAAAAGGTGACTGCATGCTACCTGCCCAGCTTCAAACAGCAGCTAAGGGCAGCAGCTGCTGGAAAACATAGCAGAGCATTTATATTAGCATGGCGAGAGATACTGCCAGAAATTGGCACCTAATAAGAAGTGTGATCAAAACATTGGGACGACTGGTCCATAAACCTCAAAAGCCTTACCTGATACAGGTGTGACCAATCCCACATTTAAGGTTCTTACAGTCTCAGTCTTACGCTACGATATTTGATTATATCACTATATCACAGTCTAAAACCTTCAGTGTGCGCACATGGCACTTTTACTTCAACCATGTTGTTTATTTATTTTAAGACTGTATTGTTTGTTTTCTTTATTAAGGTGCTGTAACATGATCATTTCCCTTGTGGGACCAATAAAGTTTCTGCCTACCTACCTGCCTGCCTAACTACCCCTTTATCTGAAAAAAGAGATCTAGGATCTTGTGCACATCTTTACCATTTTCAGTATTTGTACTTGTGTGCTTCTGGGCTCTGAATCTTCTCCAGTGTGTCAAAACTGCAATCAATAAAACATGATTTTCATTTTCAGGAAGTGGATCAAATTGCAGGCAAATCTGTCGGTCAACAAAGATTGCGTTGATATGACTAACAAAAAAGGAAAAAAAGACAAACCCAATACAAAATCCCTCCTGTGCTATTGCGATTGCAAGCTGACACAAACTACAGATATTATTATTAAATCCTTTATTTAAACAGGTGTTTTCATTGAGATTGAGATCTCTTTTTTGAGAGACACCTGTGTACAAAGACATGCAAAAATGAATAAAACAGGCGTTACACATGATCACAGTTTAATAAAAACTTGCAAGAGATATAACCTTTTTAAAATCAGAGAATGTAGCTTTATAGCTTTTCATGGCCTGTTGCATTTAGACGACATCATTTTTATATAAGCTGCAAAGGTGAGTCAGAAACTAACAGTAAGAAACTATGAATGAGAATTTGTTTATCTATACAAATCCAAATTTGGGTCTCAATGTTCTTGAGAAAGTGGTTTTTAGAAGTGAGTTCAGATGGTTTCCGGAATGTTCTCCCTCACGCACTTCAGGATGTTAATGTAAGACGTTTGTGCTGACATCCTTACCCTGATGAATGTTGAAATAACGACAAGTGAGCTCCCGCTCGTGCACCTCACCTGTGGGGCTGTTTTGGAGCTCCTGCTGTTTTTGAATAAAAATTGGTTGTAACAGGACACCCAGCTCTCATGGCCTGGCGGTTACCCTTCGTATGAACCTTTGGGTCAGTTTGAAGCAGATTTTGACACTGCCTGTGTCTTCAGACACTGCTTTGTGATCACACCTCGTGAACGAGAAATACATAAAGCCTTCTGAAATACATCATTATATACTGGCACTGTAATATCAAAGATCTGTGACACTTAACTTGTAGAATAGCTAATGGAAAGGAAATGTACTGATATGCAGTGGCCTAGATATTAATCAGTCCTCTTTGAGTCATCGAATCTATTAGATAAATGACAGATAATTTTTTTTAAGATGGACATATTCACAAGTGTATTCTTTATAGCAGTTAAAGTAAGAATTACTGCACAGTGATTACGATCCAAATAGAAAGTCAGCAGGAAGAAGCAGAAGTTGAAAAGTGAATGGAAAGCCCAGAAAAGCCTGTTTGCAGTATGACTAATCTCACTATTGTGAGGGTTATCTTAATATCCACCAAGGTTTTTCCTTCTTTTTGTCCAGTATCAGATTTTGTCAAGTACAGCACATTTTTAAATTATTTTATTCAGATGTCTGCAGTAGATCTTGCTGTTGCCGTTTCAAAGCTGCATGCTTTGCCTCATGTCGTTCAGTAATTGTTAATTATTTTATTCCTTAGATTTTGATACGTCTGTGATATTTGTAAGACTGAGGAGCCCATAGAGTCGTCGCTGGAGGATCTGTGCTCTAACGCTTGCGTGTAATAATGAGAATCGTGTTATGCACTGAAGATGAGACACAAAAGGAAGGCGTGAGACTGAATAGGAACATTAGAAGGCATTGTGATGGGAGAGTGTGTGTGTGAGAGTGTGTGTGTGTGCGTGTGTGTGTGCGTGTGTGTGTGTGTAAGGGCAGCTGTAGGTCAGAAGCACTATGGGTTTTAACATCTTGAAGGGTAGCAGACCTCAGTCGAGGCAGGCCGTGAGACTCCTTATCTCATCCAGTGTTATTTATCACTCGTTCTTTCTTTCTTTTCTTCTTCAAAAAGCTATGATTGCTTTCCAGTCAGTCATTAAAAGTGAAAAATGTTCTGCAAAGTCCTTCACCATAACACAAAAAACATGTCAGAAGTTTCATCCGCTCGCCTATGATGCAAACAGAAACACTTAAGAGGTTGTGTAGTATTGATTGAGCAATCGTCAAGGCCATGCCGGACAGGTTCCAGGTTCCCAGGAGATCATTGAACTGTACCCTTCTTCTTCTCCGCCCTCTTCTCTCTTCTCATGGTTAGTCATCTTTTTTTTTTTTCTCGTCCTGTCAGTGAGGGCTGGTCCGCCTTCCAGGATCCCCTGCTTTTAGCGATTGTGTCAACAGTAGTCAACCAGCTCTTCCTCTGGCACTGAGCCAGTTTCACTCAGGTTGGTTTCACTGTAGTCAAAGCCTGGCAAGGAGGCCTGGGAATCAGCAGGTGCACCAACAGGTCTGCCTAGCTGGGGACAAAGCCTATTGGCTCACCGCTGCTCTTCCTCGGTCATCCAAATTGGCAGTTTGAACTTGGCAGTGCTTGTAGTTTCTCTTTCACACAGACAGAAAACTGACTGTTGTGATTATAATTGTTTTCTTCTTCTTTTTTTTTTTTTTGCTCCTGTTATTGTTGCCTTTGGTCTAAGTTTTGAGACATGTGCATGACAGAGTTGCAGCGTTCTTAAACTAAACAAGCTATTAAATGCTTAAATTACTATGGTAATCATTGTTTTCCGTGCAGTATCTATATTGATGTGTTTTGTAGAGCAAAAACAACTTGTCAGTCACATTCAGTGTGCAGAACACTGCATTGAAAAAAACACAACTGCCAGTTTCGATGTCAAGCAAAGCCAATAAGGAAAGGTCCCAGTTCTCGACTCTGGCTTTGCCTGGAGGCAGCAACGATAATTTCTGTCCCACAGTCAACAGCATAAGTTCCTCTCCATGCATATGCATGTGCTGGGCTTAATATTCATGTTGGATAGTTGAGTTATACATGGGTAATAATACATCACCACCGACACGTGAGCATTGCTCCTTTTGCACTTGTCATTTCTATGGGCACGTGAGCCATTCAGCTTGTTATCAAATACAACTCTTTCTTTCTGCTCATGCTGAGTTTTAACCTGCAAGTGAATCTGCAGCTATCAAGAGGGACAAAATGACTTCAGAGTGACCATCAACAATCACATATGATCAAAGGAGTGTGCATATAAAGGTGCACGCTGCTTTCGAAATGAGATGATTAGCACTTCAAATGGGCCTCATCACAAGGCTTGTTATTACCACAGATGACCCTCAAACACCCAGACACTATCGCCCCTTCACAGCTCAGGACAACAGCAGGACACTAAAGCTGTGACAAAGTAGCAAAATCAGTATTTTTATTGATTTTTTTTAA